ATAAGAAGCCAACAAACATATGAAAAAATGCTCATCATCATTGGTCAGCCCCACAAGAAGTGCAAATCAAAACCACATTGAGATACCATCTCACACCAGTTAGAATGGCGATCATTAAAAAATCTGGAAACAACAGATGCTGGAGAGGATGTGGAGAAATAGGAACGCTTTTACACTGTTGGTGGGAATGTAAATTAATTCAACCATTGTGGAAGACAGTGTGGCGATTCCTCAATGATGTAAAAATAGAAATCCCATTTGACCCAGCAATCCCATTACTGGGTATATATGAAATAATTTTTAATCTGAACATACTTCTATCATAATCAGAAAAGAGTAAGTGTACTCTTTAGGGGTCAATGATCTTTCCCTAGTGAGCCCGTCTTATTCTGCTGCACTATGCTAGAGCATCTTGGCCACTGTGAATCTACTTCTAACCAAAGAGGAATCTTCTTTCCAACAGAGGCTCTGGCGAAGAGACACACAGCCGGGTCCTTAAACCTGGTGATGAGCAAATATTGTAAGGAAGCTGGTACGGTGATAGACACACAGTGAACTTTTATCAGGAGGAAATATTTACATGATCAGGATTTTATACTACGGTGACCAAAACAAAGCCTCTGTAGACATTGACTACACAGAAATGATGCAATTAACAGATGTGTTATTTTCAAGAAGGCTCTCTCCCCAGCCTGCCTTCCCCTCGAATAGGGAGTCTGAGGTGGCCAGGTGTGTGTGCAGGGAGAAAGAAACTTCTGAGGAACGTCATTTCCAGCCTATTTTATTTTAACAGCCTCCGGTTTTCTACGTCATCTATCTTGTTCCCTCCAAACTGCTCTGCACATTTCAGCCAGAACTTTCCTTCTGCCAATGCAGATCAAATCATACATCTCTCCTGCTGACAGACCTTCCATAGTTCATAGCCTCAGCCTTGCAAACTGGCCTCAAAGTCCATCTTTGGAAATTCTGTTCTGGTTAGCCCTCGAATAACAGACACCCCAAGAACACAGATCCTTGTGAGATGCAGACACTGCATCTTTCACATAAAAAGGTTTGAATACAGAGATTTGGCTCTGCTCCCACCCAACCTCGGGTCTCACTTCTCCCTGGGCTGTACCATTAGGGTTCCAGCTACTTGAACCCCTGTTTTCCAGTGACCACCATGCTTCCTCAGTGCCTCTGCCCTTGCAGTGGGTTCCTTCTGCCAGGAACACAGTACCCAGAGCCCTTCTCCTTCCATTTCTAGCTTCAAGTTCAGGCATTAACTCCAGAGGAATTCTTCCAAGATCAGCCCAGTTGAGTTCCAGGCCCTCTCATGCAGGCCCATGGTTCGAGTGTCCCTCAGAACCATCAACTTGATCATGCTTGATGTTACCATCCTTGGTCCATGTGCCTGTCACACCCACAAACTTCTTGGGGATAAAGGTTATGTTTCATTCATCTTTGTACTGCCAAGGCCTACCCTGTTACATAATTGGTGCTCAATTCCAATGCTGAGAGAATACATGAGTGAACGAATGACACACAGTTCAACACTACAAACAGTAAGGGCACGGCTCTACCCTTTGTCAGGAGCACCCGTTCTTTAATGCCCCTGGAAATTCAGGGCTTCTTGTGAATGAGCTAGTGCTAACCTCTGCATGCCATCCTCAGCTCTGTGCCCTCCTCTCTCCCCGACCTCTTAATTCCCTAAGGACTCCAGCTTATTTATTTATTTATTTATTTATTTTTGAGACGGCGTTTTGCTCTTGTTGCCCAAGCTGGAGTGCAATGGCACAATGTCGGCTCACTGCAACCTCTGCCTCCCGGGTTGAAGCAATTCTCCTGCTTCAGCCTACCAAGCAGCTGGGACTACAGGCACATGTCACCACGCCTGGCTAATTTTTTGTATTTTTAGTAGAGACGGGTTTTCACCGTGTTAGCCAGGATGGTCTCAAACTCCTGACTTTGTGATCCGCCTGCCTTGGCCTCCCCAGAGTGCTGAGATTACAGGTGTGAGCCACTGTGCCCAGCCCTACTCCAGCATATTAAATGTGCTCCAACGTCTATGGCTGAGAAGTGCAGGGTGGGTAGAAAGGAAGTGTGTAGGGTAAGATAAAAGGAGCTAAGCCTAAAAAGGGTTCTGGAAAGTCAGGAAGAAAAAGTGTGAACGAGAGGAGGAGAGGATTTGGGAGGTGAGAGTCACATTCCCAGACAGAGGAACACAGTCCAGAGCTTTCTCTTCTCTTTCTTTCCACTGCTACCAAATGCTGGATGTTGCCCTGAATATTCAGGATCAGCCTCTTCCATGTATAAACATGAGTGCAAATGAGCAAGAAAATAAGATGGTAATTCTGTTTTGGTTAGCTCCCAAATAGCAGATGCCCCAAGAAAACAGATTCTTGTGAGACACAGATGCTGTATCTTTCACATAGAAAGTTTTGGATATGGAGAGCTTAATGGTCTACGTGGGGGCCTCTGTGTGCACAAACTGCCCTGAAGACACCAGGTGCAGCAGAAGCAGCCAGATGCTGTTGCGTTAGGAAAGACGAGCTGTCCCCAAGGCTGATGCTGTGCTGAGATTTGAGTACGGTTTTTTCCTGCTTGCATTTGCAGTTACATGGAACTTGTTGGGCCACTTCCTGTGGTTTGAAGAGTCTAAGCCTGGCACATTAGGAGCAACGGAATCACCATGGGGCCCTTCTCCCCATGGACATGTCCTTCTTTTTCAGAGAGGCCATTTAGGAGACTTTAAAGTGTCGAGGCAGCTATGCCTTGCCCAGCCACCCCCATCTCTACCATCTGTGTCTGTCTACAGTGACCCTCAACTCCGCTAGTTATGCAAACAGCAGTGGGGACAAGGAACAAGATGTAGATAAGCCCCACACTGAAAAACAACCTTTGAGCAAAGCAGCCCGCAAGTTCTTTCTTTTAGGTAAGAAATTCTCAAAAACTCTCTACCCTTGTGCTGACTGTGCAGTTTGTGTAAGCACAAACACGTGTAGGCTATGAACAGATCCAAAGCAAAGCACTCTATCGTCTTACTGGGTTCATTCTCTCTCTTCATTTCATCCAGAGAAAGTAAAATGGACACCATGCCTTGGGAGGCCTTGGTTTTAAGACACAGGTCTGACCAATAAGCTCTTTTGCTTGGAGGGCACCATGGAGCTAGTAAATTCTGACTGGCAGGTTCCTGTTAGTCCTGCAGTATTTTTTTTTTTTTTTTTTTTTTTTGAGATGGAATCTCACTCTGTCAGCCACGCTGGAGTGCAGTGGCATGATCTTGGCTCACAGCAACCTCTGCCTCCTGGGTTCAAGCAATTCTTCTGCCTCAGCCTCCTAAGTAGTTGGGACTACAAAGGCGTGCCCGCCACACCCGGCTGATTTTTGTATTTTTAGTAGAGACGGGGTTTCACCATATTGACCAGGCTAGTCTTGAACTCCTGACCTCATGATCTACCTGCCTCAGCCTCCCAAAGTGCTGAGATTACAGGTGTGAGCCACCACACCTGGCTCGTCCTGCAATCTTTATGTCAGACCCTCTGGAGAGCGACCCATGACCACCCAGATTGCTAGCTGCACCCCTCAGGCTGGGCTTTCACACCAGAGCATGGGAGCTACTGCTATTGTTGCACAGATGTTCTGTCCTCCCAAAGGTAAACATCTGGAGGGCACAGCCACCTCATCTTCCTCTCACAGCATCCAAATCACCCTGCTTGCTCTTCTTGTTACATAGAGGTCAGATGGACTAATTCTGATGCCTTGTGATTGGGTTGGAAGATGAGTGCATGGAGAGCTGGATTCTTACTGAGGCAAGAACGCCTGTTTTTATCTAGCATGTTAGATTGGCATGCATCTCCTTTGGTTTTTCTGCTTCCCTGCAGCGTGGCTCTGGTTCTGTCTATGGAGCATCTCCAAAGCCAGGCACAGATGCTGGCAAAGTGATGCACTCCCGGATGAGGAGGTGTGTGTCAGGCAAGCTTGATGCTGTCCTGTGGCATGGAGGGTTCAAATAAGCAGCTAGCTCACACCTGCCCTAGATGACTGGCTCAGGGTCTGCTAGGCCACTTACCTTCTGGTGTCTGGGAGAACTTGCTGTTTTAGAAGAGACTTTGAAGGTTTCATTGGAGTAATAAATATTTATTAGATGCCTACAAAGTGCTGGGCTCTCAGGATGAAGCTGATATGGTTCCTGCCCTCATGACACTCTGTCTATAAAATCAGGAAAGGCCTTGTGCAGGTCAGCGAGGGGCTGCCTCTCTCACTGAGTGTTGGTTACAAGGCCCTGCCTTACCCCAGGTTAGGCCTGTGTGCCCATCTCTCTAGCTTGTTTTCCCACTTCTCCAAAACCTTCCTCCTCTTGCTTCTATTTTGTCTTATGTTCCTTGCCATTTTCCCTTCATCCACCCTTTCCATGGCTTATGCCTTCTATCTTGATGGAAAGTCTGCACAAATGGATAAACAGACTGCACCACACCCATACAATGGAGTATTACTACTAGATGCTAAAAAGAATGTAGCTACCAAGTCCTGGAGAGACATGGAAGGACCTTAAAAGCATATTGCTAAGTGAAAGAAGCAGTCAGAAACGACTACATTCTGCATGATTCCAAGTATATGACATTTCAGAAAAGGCACAAGTATAGAGACAGTAAAAAAAATCAGCAGTTGTCAGGGATTTGCAGGAAGGAAGGGAGGGTGATTTTAGGGAAGTGAAACTATTCCGTATGATGCTGTAATGATAGATAAGTGTCATTCTACATTTGTTAAAACTCATAGAACCATACGACTCAAAAAGTAAACCCAAATGCAAACTCCAGACTTGTTAGTTAATAATGATATATCAACATTGGTTCATCATGATAAATATCCCACATGAACGTAAGACGTTAGTAATAGAAGAAACTCTGTGGGGGAAAACGGGTATAATGGGAACTGTCTGTACTTTCTGTTCAATTTTTCTGTAAACCTAAGGCTGCTGCAAAAAATGAAGTTTGTTAAAAAAAATCATCTCAACTCACCCTGAATGTCATCCTGGCACAGGCTGTGGCGGGTTCCCTGGCGGCTTCTCTCCGCCTTCCAGTGAGATCGGGAGATGTTCTCAGCTCCACGCCAAAGCAGCCTCCTTGTTTCCCAGTTCACTCCAAGGACTGGTCTGTCATGTGACCGGGCCAGTGTGTTACTGAGCCACCCTCTTGATCTTCGATCCCAGGCCCAGGCAACACTGTCTCCGTGGAACTCCTGGGGTCTAACACGTGGTCTCCGTGCTCATCTCCTATTCAACATGGCCCTGCCCATAAGACCCTTTTTACTACCACTGATACCCCAAACACACCCCACCCCTGACCATTCCCAATCATAGGTGAGAGGGATTGAAAGGCGAGAATCAGAACGGACAGAGAAGAGAGGAAGGGGGCCTGAGTCTCTCACCTGTGGCCTTCAGGCAGTTGGACACGTCACCCCCACTTCTGGCTGGAGCCTGCCTCATCTTTGTTAGGAGTCTTAGCGGCAAGTAGCCAGAGGTAACATCCTCCTCTGCATTTCCTACACTGACAAGGAGAATGCTGTGGCTCTACCCAGTCACCCTTTTACAACGTGGTGAAAGGTACAGCCCACTGTTAATCATTGATCTGCATAGTAAAGTACAGAGTATTTTTGTAGGCAAGGCAATTCCTTGCTGGAAAACGCAAGGACACATTTTGCGTCAGATGGTTCCAGGGGCTGGAACTTGGGGTCAGGGCACAACTTGCTCACACGTGTCTATTGGGTTTGGCTGGGAGTAGAAGGGGCAGAGAGAGGACCTCAATCTTTAACAGGCTCTAAACAAAATGGAAAAACTAATTTTGAACAAAAATGTGAATTCTCAAGTTTGTAAGAAAAGTTGTCCATCAACTCTTACGAAATACCGGCTCTCCCTAAATAAAATAAAATAAGGAGAAATATTTGCAATGGTAAAGGGCAGGAGAGTGGTTCATTCTGACACTGTGGCAGTCCTGTGCTAAACCTGCACTCCATGAAAGGCCAAGCTGGCAAGTTTGGACTCAATCCTGTAAGCTGTGAAGAGGCAGGGAGCTGACACCAGGCTTTCCAGGCAGGGAGGTAACAAATGTGTATGGTAAGATAAAAGGAAAGGGAGTGAAGAGGGGAAATAACATAAAAAAAAAGCAAAGGGAATACAAAATAGTCCTATTGTATGAAAGATTCTCATGCATGCACTGTCGGCTTGCTCAGAATCTGGATGTCGTTAGAGAAGGGGGCTTCTAGGACAGCGGGTACATTTTGGGATCCATAAGACCAACTGGGATTCTTAGAGGAATTCTACAAAGCCTGAGTCCATCAGCCAGGCGATTAGGCAGGGGACAGGCTGGGACCTTCAATGAGCAAAAGTAAGACAAGAAGCTTGGCTAGTAGGAACTAACTTCTTGGAAGATTGCTCCGGCCGGAATCCCCTCCTCTGTCTCCCAGGCTGCTGTGTGAAGATTGCCATGGGAAGCACACATCAGTATGTTTGCAAACTGGGCTAGGTGAAGGCTAATCAAGATCTTTCCCAAAGGAATGGGCCTCAGGAGTGTCTTAACCAGGTCAGTGCTATAATAAAGTGCTTTAGACTAGGTGCCTTATAAACCACATAACTTAACTTTCCACAGTTTTGGAGGCTGGAATTCTGAGGTCAGGGTGGCCGCATGGTCAGGTTCTGGTTGGGGCTTTCTTCTGATTTGCACACTGCTGACTTCCTGTTGTAACCTCACATGGTGGAAAAAGGTGAGAGAGCTCTCTAGAACCCCTTTTGTAAGGGCACTAACCTCATTCATGAAGCCTCCCAAAGGCTCCATTATATTGGGGGTTAGGATTTTAATACGTGAATTTTGAGGGGAGCACAATATTCATTCCATTTCAGGGAAGAGAAGTGTAGATTCTTGGAAACCATTTTCTCCTGTCCTCAACTGTTTTTCATTTTATTTTATTTTCATTTTTAAATACAAGGTTTAATCCAGTTTGCCAAGAATCTTAGCCATGATGTGGAATCAAAAGTCACAAGTGGGAGAACGGGAAAGTGAGGCCAGCTCCACCCACGTGCTTGGCTATAGGATTGGGGGGAGGTCACAGGCTCATTGGGAGTGTCTGAAACTATGATCATCTTCTGTTTTTGTTTTTCTTTCTCTGAACCTTAATCAACTACAGGGCCAACTCCTTTCTTTCTGGCGGCTCCCCCAGGTCTACCCAAGTGCAGGCTTACCCGCCATGGGCGGTTTCCCTCACTGCTCAGATCTGGGAGTGACCCCTGATTGGTGCTCAGGTGAATGACTGAGACTCAGCCAGATGTCATTCTTGCTGGGTTTGTACAAGTGCCAGCACACTCCTCAGTTCCGCTGCTTCTGTCACTCACACCAGTCCTTCCTCCCACCTGTTTAGTCCTTGAGGCTGATACAGTAATTGATGAATCTACAGGCCTAAGTTTGGGTGGGGGCTGAAGATGAGCCAATTAACTGGCAGCATCCCCAAGAGAGGACCCTCAGGTTATGGCTGAGACCCACTTGCCCAGGAAGCCTCCCCCACCAGCGACTGCTGCTCCGAGCATGCACCTCAGTACAGTCCCGACTGCAGCAGAGCTCTGAGAGGATGCGGTTCAGGGTTTTCTCCCCACCTGGCTTTGCCACCCTGGATCAGCACTGTCCCCTGAGGGCATGCCTTGGACATGCAATGGCATGAGGAGAGGTGAGACTGGCAAGCTCAAGGAGCGACGCCCATCCTGGTTAGAGGGAAAACCGCCTGTGATGCCTGCCCTGACAAAGGCGGGGCAGTCCTCGAGTATTGCCACGTAGATGCCGATGGCATCGTTCCTCCAGCCAGCCCCAGCCCTTCAATCCCTGTGACAATATCTTTCAGCTTCCCCGAGATTCCCCAGTGACAGGGCAGCATTCTGGGCAGCTCCGTTCTACTTTAGCCAGTTGCTAACACTGCTGACTCAGTTCGTCGTCCTTTTGTTGACATCTCAGGGCCGCTCCGAGTACAATGCTGAGGGCAGGAAGATTGAGAAGCCTGGTCCCAGGAAGGGCCCCCTTTTCCTACTCCAGTGGTGCTGGCCCTGAGCCCCAGCAGAGTATCACTTAGTAAAGTCATCTTCCGCTTGCCAAAGTAAACAAATGGAGCACTTTATTATAACATGCCCTTGACTCTACGGAGCGTTCCCCCAGTTCCCAGTGAGGCTGCAAAGCAGAGCGCCTCCCGGGGTTCCGTGGCACTGGACAAAAGGCGAGATTCTGAGGATGCCTGCAGCAGCCTCTTTCTACTCCATTGAATGGACATTGGCATTTCCAGTGTTGTCTCTTTGCCGCTCTCTTTCCTCAGACATAAGAGTCTGAATTCCTGACCTTGGTTTCCTTGCTCTGCTATTTAGTAAACTGGACATTTAATCTTATTCGATCTTATGTTTTGTAATTTGTGGTTAAATGGGAGATACCAGTCCTCTAAACAGAAACATACGTTAGCTGCTGAAATATATATATATATATAGGTTTCGACCACTTGGTCTTTGTTCTCTCTGCTCCTTCACCATTAGAAAACACTTTATGTCTGCCTGGTTTGGGTCATAAAATTGGTCACTTGGACCGTGTTCACAGCAGCTCTGACAGCGTTTTAGACACATGTCCTCAACTCTCTCTCAGTAAGCTGTTAGCCGATGATCCACCTACAAGAAGAAGCTGAAACCGTCCCCAGAGCCAGCTGATCTGCTCTCCATGAAGCTTTTGCTCTTAAAGGACAACCACAGCACAACCACAGCATGATTAACAGCCAAGTTCAAATGAGCTAAAGATGGATTTCTGGCTCTCCGGAGCTGACTGCTGAGAAAGCAGGGTCCCTTGGCAGGAAGCTCTTGCAGGGCTTCTCCTCCAAAGCAGGAAAGACAAGGAAAAATGCATAGAAATGCAGCTCTGAGCTTCTCAACTTCACCAGAAGGTTACAGAGGCTCAAGCAGTTCCCAAATCTACGAGCTCTTCTTAAACACAAGGAAATGCTATATGAGAAACGCAGATCAGCCGAGTGAGAGACAGAATTTGATGTGTACCCTAGTTCTTTTCTCCCCGTGAGCCAGGCTGTGTAATGCTGTGGACATTTTCAGTTAAGATATTCCAGATGTGAAAGCAGTTAGATTGTGAGACAGACAATACATCTGATTGAAAAACAAACGTCATTTTCTGAAAGAAATGACTGTGATCTACTTTATGATGCTATATGGCTAAGAATATTGATAATTCTCACTATCTCTTATGATTGTGACAGAAATGTTTCCAAGGTGTCATTTTCACAGCTATGAATTTACCTTAAAGGGAGTGAAATGTAGGAGAAATTCTTTAAAAGTTTTTTATTTTCTATTTTTTTAGATGGAGTCTTGCTCTGTCACCCAGGCTGGAGTGCAGTGGCATGATCTCAGCTCATCGCAACCTCCACCTTCTGGGTTCAAGCAATTCTCCTGTATCAGCCTCCCAAGTAGCTGGGGTTACACGTGCCCGCCCCCAGGCCCAGCTAATTTTTGTATTTTTAGTAGAGATGGGGTTTCACCATGTTGGCCAGGCTGGTCTTGAAATCCTAATCTTGTGATCTGCCCACCTTGACCTCCCAAAGTGCTGGGATTACAAGCGTGAGCCACTGCACCTGGCCTAAAAGTTTTTAAGAACACATCTTTCTTCAAAAATTGGAAATTGGAAAGAAAATCCATCATCTAAAATGTTTCCCCTTTACGTTTTATCTTTTATAGTTCTCTAAATAAAATCAGATTATTAAATTAGTACTATAGTTAACAACATAACCTACTTGATATCCCCAGATAAAGTGATTGTAAATGTGTAGAGGAGAAAGAAAATTAATAGTTTATATTAATTCCCATAACATTTTGTTATTCTCTTTTCCTCCACAGATTCCAAATTTTACCCCAAGGTATCAAAAATTCAAAAAATGTATTTATTATCACAACTAAATAGAAAAGCAGAACTGATAGGAAAAAAAAAAATCCTCTGATTAACTGTCATAAAGAAAAGAATGGGAATTGGGTTTGATCTCAGTCTTGCACCCTCCAAAGTGTGGGTGTGAGTTTTAGAAAATACAAGATTTCTTTTTTGCCAGCATGATCCTCCTAAGCCTTGAGTGGCTCTGATGATTGCCAAGAGAAAAGGGGTAGAGCTGAACAAAGTAGCACTTTGGAATGAGCTGGCTGTTTAGAGCATGTTCTTTCTGGCATGTCTCACAGAGCCTCACTTTCTTCCTTTGTAAACTGGGGATAAAAATACTGTATAATGGGGGTATGGAGGCGGCAAACCACCTTGCCATGTATGTACCTATGCAACAATTCTGCATGACCTGCATATGTACCAGAACCTAAAGTACAATAATAAAAAAAAGAGATCACATCCACTATGGGAGTTGCATTGTGAAAGGAATTTGTAACAGTGGGCCTGGTGCTTTTTAGGATAAAGCTCTTAGACAGCTTTTTCAATTTTTAAAAGATATTTCTTATAGAAATCATCTTAAGTTTTGGGGCATA